TGTTTTCTCTATTATACATGCAAATATCAATTTTCCAAGGTATTACCCTAACTAGCATACAATCATTGATACTTGGGTAATAAAAACAAGTTAGAATACATACCTTTTGTTGTAGCTTGATTCCATGGAGCTTAAGAGCCTAGTGCCCCAAGTGTGACACCTCAAATGGTTCACACAACATCAAAACGACTTGGAATAACCATGAGAAGAGATACATGTCTCTAGAAATCGGCTTGCCCTCTTGTGTATGCACTAGTGCCATTTCACCAACTAATGGGGTCTTTATATAGTGTGCACATTAGGGTTACACCATGTAACCCATGTCTTTACCCATTCCTTATGCTCCATGAGTTTTAACCTCCATGGAGTATCCATGGTTCACCACATGGGTTAAACCCAACATAAGGAATCATGGATCATAAGCCCACATATATATAAGAATGAATGATTTACACAATCAATCCCCATATATTTAATTAGTCTCCTTTTGATCACAAATTTAATTCCATATTAAATATTGATCAATACTAATTAAATAATATGATTTCATATTAATATATTAGAACTTATAATATATTAATACATCACAAATATCCTCTTCTCACAAAAGGTCTATCCAAATGTTCCGATGTCATGCAACCCAAATAGACCATGCCGGGTCGGGTCAAGTATATACCAATTATAGTTATGGACTTAGACACTAATCCAACAAATGGACCATGCAAATCAGGTCAAGTACATACCAATTATAGTTATGGACTTAGACACTAATCCAACAAGAGATACAAAGGACCGACTCGCACCCGAGTCAAACAATACTAAAGCAGGAAAAGAGTTCACTAGGAACGTACCTGACAGAGGCACAACATAAAACATATTCAATATAGAAATAGATAGAAACATACCAGTCACCACATCTAGAGTTGCTCTGGCCTCCTCGGCAGTGAGCTAGAAAGCGCAACCTCAAGCCCTCGGGGGCTCCACCCTGTCTTGACACCCATCAATGATCCTGAAAGTAGCCGGCGCTGGAGCCTGCACCGGCCTGGCAACAAGCAAGGGACACTGGGCAATCCCTCGCGATATGACCCTGCTTGCCACATTTGTGGCATCTCGAAGAAGATCGACAAGCTCCATCATGCACATTACCGCACTTTCCACAAGTGCGACCCCTCTGATTCCCTGGCCTAGAATCAGCGGCCCTAAACCGCTTCAGTGCAGGCTGCAACTGTGTCGGGGTCGGTCTCTTCTCCCTCGTCTGTAACTCAATCTCAATCTCACGCCACCTAGCGGCCTCCTGTAACTCCAACAAAGAACCATAACGATGGGTGGATACAAACTGACAAATATTCGTCTTGAGCATGCTCAAGTAACCGGTCATCTAATCATGTTCAGATGCAGCAAACTCAGGACAAAGCATGGCCCTCTCGGTAAACATCTTGGTGATCTCCGTCACCGACTCCGACCCTTGTCTCAAATCTAGATACTCCTGGGCCAACCTCTCATGCTTCACCAGCGGCACATATCGAGAGCGGAACATCTCCGAGAACTGATCCCAGGACACAACAGCTCTCTACTCAGCAGAAGATGAACTAGTATCAAATCTCCACCAATCCTTCGCTCCTAACCTCAAAAGGTTCATAGCGTACCTGACCTTCTGGTCAGCCGGGCATGAGCAGGTGAAAAAGCATCCCTCAACATCAGACAACCACCTCATGGCTATGATCAGGTCCTGCACTCCATCGAAAGTAGGAGGCTTCGTATTGTCGAAGTTCCAATACTGAAAAACCCGACCCGATCCAACACCTGCAGTTGCAACGGCTACGGAGGCTGCAGCAGCAGTCTCAGCAACGGCTGCGTATCTGTCATCAAAGAACTCCATCATCGCAGTCTTAATAGACCCAAACAACTCCGGTATCTAATCCCGGACAATAGCCACAACCTCCTCACGGAGAATCTCTCTAATCATGTCATATAACGCAGTTGACCCACCCTGATTGCCAACTCCCGATCCCTATCCAGACCCAGTCTCAACTCGCCTCGTCGTCACCATACTGAAAATAAACCAGGGGAATATTAGATAACATGTGAATCATATCAGGGAAACCAACTCCCAACAAAACCCTAGGGGTTGTGACTTCCATGTTATGCGTACGGGTCATGTGTTTCCAGTAGTACGGTCCCATACTACCTTCCACACCTACCCGTATTTTTCTTAGAGAATCATCACAACAACCATAACAATACACACTAGCATAACCATACACTCAATCCTCACATCCTAGATGGAAGGCTAATCATTTCGGAACTGGTCGGCTGACCCAACAAAACTCATCCATGAAACTTCCACCAACCTTGCAGCACTCGCGTATGTTAATCATACATAACGCTAGACCTTATATACATTTGAATATCTGATCTACCCTAAGCCATTCATCAAACAAGAACAGGAAATAAAGCCAAACCAAACATTCTCATGTTATAGAATCTTAGTTATGTATAACCATGATGCATACACTAAGCAACTACAGTAATGATGTCAATCCCATATAAGAAGAACCCTAGGCTATTAGGCATCATATAATCAGGAAATCCTATCATGCAAATTCCTGAAAATCCCTAGCCTATCACTAGCATGTTGTGCTCACATATCGCAATATCAAATAACATAGTGGTATTTTAGGGTCTACTTACTGGCTCCAGCTGATCATACACATCGCATCCTCTTTGATTATTTTGAAAACATTTTAAAAATTTTGTTTTTAAAATCTTTTTCCTTAGTTTGAGACTGGATTCACACGAGTGTTCCTCCAATTCACTCAAACCAAGGCTCTGATACCAACTTGTAACATCCATAAAGTTCAGGAAAAATTTAAACTTTTCAAACAATTCCACAAACCATCATTGTTTACAAAATAGTTTTCAAAACATGTTTATTATAAGATTTTTCCCAAAATTATAAAACAAAACATGAGGAAGTGCACGATCACGCCTTTGCCTTCTCGCATCATCTGAGGTACTTGAAACATAACCCAAAACTGTAAGCCCAAAGCTTAGTGAGTTCCCCCCAAATTACCAACACACAACAAAGAACGCATATACAATAACAGCATACCATGGGTCCAATCAACCATCGGGTTGGAATACCCCAGACCCCTTCAATATCGGGTTGGAATGCCAATATAATATCGGTCTAAACAACCATCGGGTTGGAATACTCCAAGCCCTCAACTCTCGGGTTGGAATGCCAACATACTATGGGTCCAATCGTCCTCATGATGGAATACCCTAGAACCTCAACCATCGGGTCAGAATGCACCTGCATGTTGGCTTACACACAAAGCAGTGAAGCCTCAGCCACTGACCAAACATTTGCACATATAACAGATAAGCATACAATAACCAGCCAGTAAACAAACAGACAGATCTTATAGATCACTAAACATAGCATCATCCTATCTATCAAGATGCAGATCTAATAGATCACTACAGTACACAATCATACGATAAACCAGGATAACAATCCAAAGGGTCGACTTTGGTGCCTTCGACCCACAAGTACAATGAGGAAAACTTACCTCGCAACTGGATATAACTGATGAGGCCCGACTACGAATCTCAGCTCACACCACAATATCCACCAAGTGACCAGTTCCATCAAAATCCCAAAATACCCAAAATGCCCTCAAAGTCAACGGTCAAGGTTAACAGTCCATGTTGACCCAACACGTCGTGTTCCTTCTATCCATGTCGTGTTCCGCAAGCATACAAACAGACGGGAAAACTTTAGCCAACATGTCATGTTGACTTGAAAACACTCCGTGTTCGCCAGAGTTCCAACAGCTTTTGTACATTCAACTGCTTTTTTGTCCCCAAGAGCTTCAAAGCTCAGATCTAGACCAAAAAATGTGATTAGGAAGGATAAAGCTTCCAACTTTATCCATTGGGACTACCAAAAGGTCCAAGAACCCAAATCACAAGCTTGACAATGCAAGGGCTTAACCACAATCCCCTTAATCCTTAAGATCCGAAGTTCATCCCTTCCAGAAGTGGTTCAAACACGTAAACCATCCCAAAGGTTGGTGCTTTTTAGACATGCATGTCCAATGCATGTCTTGAATCCATATTAGGTCAAAAGGAGGATTTATGACCTAATCTCTATGCGTGGAATCAAAACTTGGTTATAGACCAGATCCAACCCACTACTAGGTCACCTTTTCCTCGAGATTCATAAAGTTGCAAACTTTATGAGATCTATCCGTTGCAACATCCAAGAACAAGGAGAAAAGGGGACAAAACTCAAGATCTAACAACTTTGAATGATAACAATTGGGTTTTTGACACTTACAAAGGTCCAGGAGAATGCCAAACTGAAGAATGGGGCTTGCTTGTTGGATCTTTGCTTCCTTCTTTCACCTTCTTCCTTCCAAACACCAACTAGCTTCACAAATGGGAGAGGAAATGATTAGGGCTTCTTTCAGAGCTTGAGGGGATGATGGGGACTGAGGGTGAACAAACCCTAGCCTCCACATTCCTTTAAATAGGCAGAAAAACTCGGAATATTACGGTTTCATTTTTAGCAGTCAACACGCCTTGTTCCAAGAAGAAACACGTCGTGTTTCCCAAATAAAACTCGCGCCTTTTAATATTCAGACACACTGTGTTGGTGCCTCCAACACGTCGTGTCCAAACCTCAATTATTGCCAAGAATGCTACCACTTGACCAATTGACATGAAATGGAACTATAGGGATGAATTTAGAAGTACCTGAACATCGGGATGTTACACTTGCACTATTATGCTCACTTATAAGAGACTTGATCTTGAAAGACTTATCATCACTCATCCATGACCCCTGTAGCCTAAAAGTATATTTTCCATCACAACATTTAACTAATAGCCCTCTATTATCATTTTTTACAAAACATAGTTAATAACCATTTGCAACTACATAATTACATATCATGTATTTGAGTTGTTTAGGATTCTCAAACCTCATATTGCTACTCCTTCCATGGTTGTTCTCCATTGAAAATATTTGGCAATTTGCTAACAACATCATCCTCTTCAGCCTCATTCTCAACCATGTTATCATCAACAAGTTCAACTTGACCTATATTCTTCTTGAAAATATAAGGGTTGGCATTATCATCCATATGCCTTGTCTCAGCTATTTCAACATCAACCTGGATATCATCAACGACTTCTTCCTGGATATCATCAACGACTTCTTCCTGGATATTATCAACTACTTACTCTTTTTTTTCATCCAACCACTCCTGGATGTTAGCAGTACCAAAATGATCTATATACATTGGGAGTTCAACACCACATTATTCGTAATGGTTATAATTGAATAATCAAGTTTATTCCTAATTAACCTCAAACCATTTGGAAAATCAATATCAGGAAGACAGTAATAGACGAAGAAAGTGTTGTCGTATGTCTCATTAAAAACCCTAACAAAACAGTCAACAATTACACGTCGACTACTTAAATGAGATGGCAAAGAAATTAAAGGAGGTGGCAAAGAAGTTACCGGCTTACCCCTTCATTTCTTCAAAAATGACTAAATAGACCCGACAAAAACAAGTTTATTCCCTTATAAAGCACGTAAATAAGTTAAGGGACTGAATGAGCAAAGTTGCAATATATTGTTGGGCTAATGTGTTATTTTCTCTATTTTATATATATATATATATATATATATATATATAGATATATATATATATATATATATATATATATATATATAGGATATAGATCCGGTAAGAAATTTTTTTGGTAAGGTAAGAAGTTTTTTTCTACATATTTTTTGACGAACAAAATAAATGAATCACTAGATGATTCATTTGTAAGATGATTCATTTGTAAGATGATCACAAGAAAAAAATTCCCAAAAAAATCTTTATGATTCATTTTTAAGTAAATTAAGAAAAAAATCACTTTTATGACAATTTTAGTAAATAACAACAAAATCATTGTATAAATGAATCATCAAGATGTTTTTTCTTGGAATCATCTTACAATTGAATCATCTAATGATTCATTTGTTTGTTCGTAAAAAAAATATGTAGAAAAAAAACTTCTTACCTTCCTACCAAAAATTTCCTTCTTATTTGATCTTGACTCTCTCTCGCTATATAATATTATTATATATATATAATATATATATATATATATATATATATATAATTTTTCCAAAATTTATTTCTTTATAATTTACCCAATTTGAGTACTCATCGCCTAGACCGAGTACTCACTACTTGTTATTCGACTGACCTAGGAATGCCTACTGAAACTTCTACAACATTGTCAGCAAGAACTACAACACCATTCAATGTAACATATTTCTTTGCCTTAAACCAAAACAACATTGTACTTATACTTTTTAACATAAACAAAAACAAAGTTAATAATCAAATGAAAATTATTCGTCGAAATAAAACCAATTGCCGCTGCTGTAAAAATGCAAGTATACAACACGCAATCGTATATCAAAGTCTTTTCCATGCTGTATGTCCTTGAAGTATTATGCCTCATTCTCCTTGCATACACTCTTTGTTTTGTGCAATCACATCACGAGGGATAACTATAACACTATTATATATAAAATATTCATTTCCTTTTACAAGACAACAATATAATTATATTTTTTTTAACCAAAACAACATACTTAATCGACAAATGAAAATTATTTGTAAAAATAAAACTAATCGCACCGGGGCATTTTACTTGTGCGTGTCTATGGGGGTGTTTGAGAAAATTTTTTAAGGTTAAAAGTCCTTTTTGTAAAAGAACTTTTCGGTTAGTTATTTTTTCCAAAAGAAAATCTTTAAAAAAGTGTTTGTATTTGCTTTTAAGGTAAAAGTTAACTTTTCAAGTTAAAAAGTCCTAAAAGTCACAAAAATATAGGATTTTGTGACTTTTGAATCACTCTCTTTTCCTTCTATACAAAAGTCATTTTAAAAGATTTTTTTCAATACCCAAACATCTTTTATATCTTTTTTAACTTTTTTGAAAAGTTAAAAGCCAAAAGTTGTTTTAAAAGCAATCCCAAACACCCTCTATATATACGTATCTATGAGGCTTATGCTTCTTTACAAGAAAATGAAATAAAAGATCAAGATTGACCCCATATAACGAAGCTTAGCCATTTCCTTTTTTAAGTTCATTTGAGCCGCATAAGATGACCAAATTCACCCAATTTCCTCTTCCCTTTCTTTCTTTTGTGTGTCTGTGTGTGTGTGAGAGAGAGAGAGAGAGAGAGAGAGCGAGAGATCTTTTGTATAATCAAGTTTTTTATATACTTAAACATTTGAAAATCACTCTTTGTAAGTTAAAAAAAAATTGTAAATGATGAAGGTAATTGTTTTTATTTTTCATTACATGTAATTTTTTGTAAACTCCTGAAGTACATTCTTTCAAGAGAAAATGACAAAAATAGCCAATTATCCTAATCACTTTGCTGAAAATAGCCAAAAAAAATCGATATTGCAAAAATGGCCTTCAAAATCGCAGATGGGAATGGTCCATCTGCGATTTGACTATTCCATCTACGAATGTACAAGTGGCTAAAGCACAAGTGTGCTTTAGCCACTTGTACATTCGCAGGTGGATTGATTTTTTTTTTTTTTTGTATATATAGGGGCTTTTCAGGGTTAAAATCGTAGATGGACTGTGTCCATCTGCGATTTACTCTGTATTCCATCTGCGAATTTGCGGATTTTTTTTAATTTTTTTTTTTTTAAATTTGACTATGAAATCAATTGGTTTGACTACGAAATAATGTTACTATATATATAAACTTTTGTAGAAAATTATCAGTTTAGTTGTTATTTGTTTAGGAAATTTCTCTAAAATCTCTCTAAAAAAATGATTGAATATTTGGTTTGTCTTGTAACCGGTGGGAGATGGCAAGTTATTGAAACAAATCTGGAATACGTATGTCCACAGGGAGGTATTTCTGAATTTGCTTTGATATTTTCTGAGTATATTAGTTATAGTGATTTTGTATCTTTGGTGAGAAGCAAAATTGGTTTGTTAGACAAATATAGAATTAGTCTTCGTTTCCATCATCCTGAATTAAATTATTATATAGCTATAGTTGAAGATATGGATGTTAGAATGTTGATAAATGTAATCAAATTTAGTGGATGAAGGGCTGTCAAAGTGTTTGTGGTGGTTGATGAAGTAGATGAGGTTAATGAGGGTGGTCACAGTGGAAATCAGTCGGTTGGTAATTTATGCAGCTATAAAGGGAGCAACGATCCGATAGGTACTTTCAATACTCCTAGTGTACCTCAGTTTCACAGTGTTGCTGAAAATGTTAATGTTAGTTATTCACCTATTAACTATGTGGATCCTGAGAATTACAAGTATGTTGGTGATGATGATGTTGGTACATATCTTAATGATGTGGGTGGTCGTTGTGATGATGTTGCCGAACAAGAAGTTAAAGTTATGAATAGGCGTGTAGTAGATAAAAGTAAAAAGAAAAAAAATTCGAGTCAAAAAAATGAAAAAAAGCATGTTTACGGGGATTATGTTGATGTTGCTGATGTACATTTAGATATAACCGACTTACAAAGCAATTCAGATAGAGATGAGTTGGGTGATGAAGTTAAAGTTAAGTTTCCCGATAACCTTTTTTACGGTATGCCGCCTGTACCAGCATGCCCAGTTGATATTAATGAAGATATCCCAACACAGATGGTAGACATGAATCTTCAAAAGATTGAATGTGAGAGTATATTTAAGAACAAAGAACTTTTAAAGCGGTGTATTGGTAAAAAAATGTCTTCGAGAAGGCTTTCAGACGAGGACAAGTAGATCCACCAAATCAAGGTATGAAGTTGTGTGTGTTTCGAAAAATTGTTCTTGGTTACTAAGAGCAAAAGCAATTAAAAATTATGATGGACTTTTCCAAGTGAATAAATTTGTTGATGTACACACATGTTCTTCAACAATTTTGCAACCTAATCATCGACAAGCAAACAAATATGTTTTGGGTGAATATCTTGCTGATGTTTTGGCTGAAGACTATAGTAGAGTTTATCGGGGAAAAGATATTATTAATGATATGAATGCTCAATTGAATATCAATATCTCATACCATCAGGCATGGCGTGCGAAGCAATATGCATTGTTGTTGTTAAGGGGTACGAAAGAAGATTCTTTTACCAAACTTCCGGCGTATTGTCACAATTTGGTCAAACATAATCTGGGTACGGTGACACATATTAAAACAGATGGTGATGATCACTTTGAGTTTTTGTACGTCGCACTCGGTTGCTCGGTTAGTATTATAATATTTTATTAAAATTTTTCATTTTTATTTTGGTGTATTTGAATAGATATACAATGTATTGTAGGTACGCGCTTTTGTCAAATATTGTAAACCGACCCTAGTAGTAGATGGAGCCCACCTAAAGGGCGAGTTCAAAGGTACCATGTTACTTGCAGTTACTAAGGACGGACAAAACCAAATATTACCGGTTGCATATGGTATATGCAAAAATGAGTGTACCGATTCTTGGACATGGTTTTTTTCAAAAACTACGTGATTGCATAGGAAATATGCAGGAGCTTACAATTATATCTGATAGGTCTCCATCTATAGCAACATCCGTTGCCAATATTTTTCCTCACGCTCATCATGGAATATGTGGTGTCCATTTGTATTTCAACATAGTATCTAGATTCGGGAAGAGTAACACCGTTAAAGGAATTTTTTAGGAAGCTTGTAGGGCGTACACAGTTGATGCTTTTGACGCTGCCATGGATGTTATGAAAAAGACAAAACAACCAGTATGGGAGTACTTAAAAAGTATAAATCCAGAAACTTGGTCAAGGGCACACTTTAAAGGGAACCGATACAATCTTATGTCGTCCAACAGTGCGTAGTCTATAAATGCATTATCTAGACACGCACGTAAGGTGCCAATACTTATGTTGATCGATTTTTTTCGTGCAACAATGCAACAATGGTGGTTTCAAAGACGTAACTTTGCAGGTATTAAGTAAATTTTTAATTAATTTTTTATTAATTTAATGTTATTGATCTTAACTTCTTCGTTTTGCCTGTTTTTTTAGCGGAAGCAACAACAATACTTACCCCTTGGGCCAATGAAATTGTAAAAGAAAACAAAAAAACTTTTACTAAGTGGGATGTTCGCATGATCTCAAATACGAAATGCGAGGTCAAAAAGGGGGCACAAAATGTGATTGTTGATTTCCAACATATGACATGTACATGTAGGCATTGGCAACTTGATGGGATATCTTGTGGTCATGTCATAAGATGTTTAACAGTGAACAATTACCAAGACTGCTCGAGGTATGCATTAAATGCTTACTTTACCGAAACATTGAGGAAAACGTATGAGGAATCAATAAATCCTTTGCCAAAGCCATCCGAATGGGATATCCCCGATGATTTGATGATTGTTAAGCCACCTATAATGGATAAAGGTCAGCCAGGCAGGCCAAGAAACACAGACCGCATTCCATCCCAAGGCGAGGGTCCAATTAGAAAAGAGTGTTCTACATGTGGTCAACTAGGACACATGAGAAACAATTGTACTGGAAGGGCGTCCGGTAGTGGAGCACGTCACACAATTTCTACTGCAGAAGTGGCATTTAATATTGGTGGTTCAGCGAGTTGCTCACAAACCTATGACGCTGATTTTGATATAAAACAACCTTGAAATGAAGAGTTGTTAACTTATTATGTATTGTAATTTTTTTATTAAATCTTACAAGACATTGCTATGCTTTCATATTTTAGTTTAGTTTGTAGATTATAACAATTAATGAAGCTTTTATATTATAAAAGTTAGTTTGCAGATTATAACAATTAAACATGTTATTTAAAAAAAACAACAAACGATCCTTTTGCAACCTAATCTCTATCATGATAATGTTACAACAATTTTGTAACTAATTTTTAAACTCAGGGAACTGCAATGGGTACTTCTCTTTCTCCATTGTTATATAGTCATCCCTAATTCTCATTTTGTCTTCCAAACGATCCTTTTGCACCATAATGTGTATCAAGTGCTCGTCCTTCTCAGCAAGCCATTTTTCAGTCGTTTTGATTGCCTTCTTAGTCTTTTTTATCCAATCTTCATGCTCTTTGATTTTGTTTTTATTGAGGTCTATCCATTCTTGAGCTTGTTTGCATTCCGATGCAATATCATTACCACGTTGAGTGAGAAGTCGGGATGACTCTTTGTCCTCTTCTTGTTGCTCTTCAGCCTTCTTCAATTCTTCAAAATTTTCATCTGACATATATGGCCCGGCTGAAGAGGGTGTAAAAAAAGGGTCGACTGAATCACAGTAGTAACAATCTACTTCGTTGCATGAGCAAACTTCG